ACTGCAACCTGAACAGATCCATCTGATTAAATTAAAAAGGGGAAACTGCTCTTATTCCCCCTCCCTCTTACAGAAGGGAACTAAAACCCAAAGGTGTTGCTGTTCAGTAATACCGTAGTTCCAGTCCTATGGAACAATCTCCCAATAGAGACCAAAATGGCTCCCTCCTTCATGGATGCAGAGTAGCGGAAGCAAAAATGTTCTATTTAGTTTTATATTTACCTTATTTTTATCTTGACTTATTACATGTTATGTTTTCTTTTCCTTTATTTTATAAGCACACACAAGCATGGAAGCAAATACTGAATGTAGTAAATCAGCTTATGAAGATTAGCCATATTTTGTGTGATTTATACAAAATAAAGTTTTCTTAGTTCTAGAGGAGTGGATTTCCAGGGACAAGATCAGGCAATGGAAGTTTTCAAAGAACGGTTACTTGATATGGAGTCCCTGGTGATATCTGAGCTTGGTTATTTGCTTGCAGACATTTTATTACCAACTAGTTAACATGATCAGAGCTCAACTGGGTCACAGTAAATTTTATTTCAAGCTAGCATTATGTTTGGATCAACTTATAAATGTGTATTAGAGGGCTTTCACACTACCAGAGTTTAATAACTTACTGTCAACAGTGTTGGAGAGTAAATACTGCAAAATCCCATTTCATGGAAAACTTTGTCCTTATAAAGATGGGCATATTAAATTACAGGGTCATGCTCTGCTTTACTGTAATTTTTACCAAGACATTTATAATGAGTTATTAAAGCATCTTCTTAGCCCATTTCCAGGATGGACAAACAAATTCTATGTACAGTGTCTTTTGGCAGATAATAAATTCCAGGGAAACTTTTGCTGTCAAAAAGTAGCCTATAGAATTCATGCATTGATGATAGCAGTCTAAACACAAGAAGAGACTTTTACTATATATGCTATAATGTATTTTACATTACATAATTTCTTTTATGCAATTTTGGTCTATGACCAATCATAAGTTTTAGTAATTCCTGTAGTAGCATTTGGGGTATTATTGAAACCATCAGAGTAGGTGCTGACATTCTTTATGAATAATCTTTTATAGGGAAACACATACAGTAGTTGTCATCCATAGAAAAATGAACAAATTCCTAGTAACTTTTAATTAAACATTTACCAGAACTATTGAATAGGCATACTGATATATTTAACATTCCATGCTGTACGATCAAGATCATAGGTGATATGCACCAATAACTTTCTCAGCATAGCTTACCACAAAAAATAATAATAAAAAAATAAATAAAAATAAATTAAGGACAAACTTGGACAAAAGGAAAGCACTTATACCATATGAATATTGTGGTGGAAAGAGAATATAAACATAATTAGATACCTAGTCTAGGTACTTCTTATATTTTTGCTATTTATAGTTTTAGAATTACAAAATGAACAGTACAAGTCAGTTTGTTATATCAGGTGAAATAACTGATTTAGTTTAAAAATTGATCTGCACTAAATATATTAAAAATCATTAAATCTGTAATAGATTAATTCAAACAATATAGAACTGTCATATAAAACTAAATTATTCTACTGCATACTTGGTATACCTAGGCATAATGTAGTTTGAAGTCAAAAATATACAAACCCAATTATTGTTTATATTTTTGCACAGTAGGCAAAATGATTCATAATGCAACTCTTACATAATGAGATTTGACATGGCCTTCCAAATTGACTTTTTTTGGTTTATCATGGTGGTCATATTTACAAATGCAAGTAAGATGTTAAATTGTATAGATTTTACAGAGATCAGATCTTGTTTGATCAGATATTATTAACCTCTGATGGAAAACTAATTAAGAAAATGTATGACTTTTAATTGAATTTGAAAATGGAAGATAAACAAGTAAAAGAAACAATGACAATATGGGCAAATAATTTTGAATACAATTTAGATTTAGAGAAATGGCAAAGCTTGTGGGAAATTATAAATTGACAATGTCAACTTTTTATAAAGAAAACTTATATAAAATATTTTATAAATGGCGCTTGCCGCCAGCAAGATTAGCAAAAATGTTTTAAAATATGTCAGATGTTGGAAATGTAATCACAAATCAGGTACTTATTATCATGTATGGTGGACATATGTTAAAGCAAAGAGATGTTGGACAAAAATACATACTTGGCTAGAAAGGATGTTGGGAAAACATGTAGATTTTAAACCTGACCTTTTTTTTATTAGGTATAATGCCAGAAAAGCTTGACAAACTATATATTTAATTTTACATGTGATAACAGCAGCAAGAATTATATTCACACAATATTGGAAAAATGAAGTAACACCACCAGAGGAAGAAATAATTAAAAAAAATATTAGACTATGCTGAAATGGACAGACTTACTCTGAGGTTGAAAGAAAAAGAGACAGAATATTTTCAAACTTGGGACTTATTTTATCAATGGCTGGAGAAACAAACAAGAGATTAGGAATTTAATTTGTATTAGTGGATGATAAACTCAGACAACACTGTTTATTGAATAAGTACTTTTGAATTATTAAAAAATCAATAAAAACTTATAAAAAAACAAATTGACTTTTTTTTGCTTTCAGAAAAAAATCTGACGTTACAAATGCACTAATTATTGCAAGAGCACTCCACATAGGTGATTTATTGGCAGAGTAGCTTCTTTGCTAACAAAAATACAAATACATAAAGTTACATAAAGTTGAGAACAGATATCAATTTCTATAAGGAAGTTTTCTTTCTATCCAAGCTATCCATTATTTCTTTGGTGTTCCTAGCACATTAGCAGTACATTATTAGAGAAGAGTTAAGAATAAGCATACATAGAAAGGGTACATTGTTCCAGTTTACCTTTAATTATTCTCTCTGCTAAATGTAGCTCATTAAAGCATGCATATAGACTAGGCATTGTAATTTTCAAGTGTCTGAATTCGACTGAAGCGGATTCAAGCTATTATTTTCTACGTGCAGTGCAAGTAAAATACAAGTACTATTACTGTGTATTTAAGGCTGTAGAGAATACAACCCTTCCCCCATGACTGTTGAGGAGCTAGCGCCTCCTCCACATTCCTGAAATGCCCACTAGATGACAGTCCCATACCCAACCCTTAAAGTAACACTAAAAATGCTTGATCTCATTAATGGAGGAGAAGCCTTTTCATCTGGAGTTTAAGCCTGAAGCCTATTTAACTCAATCTGCAACCTTTTTTAAACACAGGAGGGGCTTCTGTCTATCCCATTGTATTGCCTGAATTCCAGAAAGGCAAATGCATACATAAAATCTCGTACTCCAGCCACTGTCTGTAGTCATGCTCTTGCTAACTCTATAAGGGGCAAAACAAAAAAAATAATCCATAAATTCTACAGAAACATCCTTGCCAGCTTCCCCAACAGCCTGCACTATTGTTTACTAGAACTTGGAAGAAATCAGAAAAAAACAGAAGAAACTCCTCTGCTTCCTCAACGATTTGATAAAAGGTTTCCCATCAAGAATCAGATAACTAAGCTGCAGCCAGTTTCAGAGAAAAAGAACGAGTAGTCCAGTTTCTTTACGAGTCCACGAACTAAGCACAGTCTACCCTTAAAAGATCATGCTGGTGCAGAGATATTCGTGGATGCCCTGCCCGGCCACTTGTGACGGCCAGCTTGGTAGGTAGGGTTCGTTGAATGCTTATACCAACAAGCAATTTACTAGCCATCTATCAATTCGGTTCCGATCAACACTGCGAGAATCTCGGTGGCCCTCGACCTTCCCACAGGATCAAACATCACCTTCTGCATAAGACACACTTATGTTCACACTCCGTTGTTAACGAGCGCAAAGCCAAATAAGGGAACCCTCTCGTGAAAGCCCGCCATGCATTGGTAGTAAATATACGGGGGGGGAGAGAGAAGAGAGAGGGACGACGACCGGCAATCGCCGAGGCCTGCTTTAATTTAAAAGGGCAGGAACGAAAGGTCACGTCCCGCCTTAGCAAGGTCACAACTTCGCCTTTCCCGACGTGAACTGGTCTTCTGTTTAAGTTTTCCTCAGAGCGCCGGCCTACTGGGAACTTAAAAGGCCTGCCATCAGCCACCGCATGCTGAGGCCAGGCCTGCATGCGACAGGGGAACGTTAGTGGCAGTTACTGAAGGGGCCGGCTTGCTCCATCTCCCCCTCCCCCCCGCCCCCCTCAAGGCCGTCCCGGTGAAAGTCCCTCCCTCCCTCCCTCCGTTTGGAGCAGGCGGCCCTCGTCCCTCCCTCGCCTCGCGCAACACAACGCAGTCCTGAATGGAGCAGCCGCCATGCCCGCCCCTCTTCCCCGGCCATTAGGTTCGCTCGCTTCCCGCCCAGCCGTGCGGCGTGACGGGCGCTCACCAGGGCCTGCGCGCCACCGGCCTGGCATATTCCCGCACTCGCTCGGCTAGCCCCCTCCATCTTCTTCCACCCGCCCGTTTCCACCGGCTCTCCTGCCGGTTCCCAACTCACCTGGGAATGGTGCGGAGGTCGCCGGAGCCCTTGCTCTGGTGCGGCTCCTGCGGCGAGGGCTGTTGCCAGGCGAACCACACCTCCAGTAGCTTCTCAGTCCCTTCGAAGAAGTGTGCACCGTTCTCCTCCATCATGGTGAGACAACTCCGCAAAACCAACCACAGAAATTAAACGACAGACACCCCCCACCCGACCAAATTGCTGCTGCCGCCCTCACCTACACCAGCTACAGCTGATATGACTGTTGCTTCTAGGCAGGGCCGCGGCGCCTTCTTGGTGTCTCAGCCCGTCCCAAGCAGGTTTTACCTTGGATGGGGCAGTAATCTTATATTAAGTTATAAGATAAAATACATGGGTATATGTGCGCGCTCATATATAAATATATATGAGCGAGCGGTTGCAGAAAGGGTGGCGGGTTATTAGGGTCCTTTGGGGTAGGGGAAGGAGGGAAATGGAAGGCAAGAAGTGCGGAGTAGGCAAGCGAGCAGGCGATGCGGTGCGGTGCGGTGCAGTTCGGTTCCTTGTATTCCGTGTGTTCCCGTTACAGAGAAGAGCATTGAGCGAGCGCTAGCTAATGTCGCCGGCCATACTGTGGAAGCGAAGTGAGGGAAGCCGCGCAGAGTTTTTATAACCGCACAGGTACAGGGGGTCTACTGCTATTGGATTTCCGCTCGTTAGGCCCGCCCACTTTCTTCGCTGATAGGGCATTCTAACTGTCTGACAGGCACTAGGAGCTCGTCCCAGTTTGTTGGCTGTTCAAGCTCGTGCGGTCTCCACCGAGGTGCGCTGTAGATGGCTCCGGCTAGCACATGCGAGAGCTTGAAAGAAGCAAGGAAGAAAATATCGGCAGGGAGTTATTCTTTTTGAAAAGCCGACACAAAAAGAACAGCGAATTCCTGTGTGACATAGTGATCAAGAGATCCGTTTCTGAAAGACGCTATGGCGCTGGTTGAAATTTACTTTAACAGAATTCCCAAAATCACTATTGTTGCTGGGGGTTTCTAAAATTCAATCACAGTGGATGAGTGAAGTAAGACCTGTATGTGTTTGAGAAACAATTATTTCTAAAAAAATAAAGAGCGCGTGGGAAATGCGTTAGCTGATGGAAGAGTATATTTGTATATAAAACTTCCTAGAGACTTCTGCATAAAGAAACATTGAATCGGGTTGCGTATGTCACTGAAAGCAGAACAATACTGCATAAGGAAGTTTAAGGTTTAAGAATTTCTTCTTTCCTTTAAATCAATATATATATACTTCCTGTTAATTTTGCTTTTGAGGGTTTTTTATAAAAGTTTTTACTACTGCTTTTAGGATATTTATGTTTATGGTGACTATAGTTTTATATTTTGTAAGACATTGGGCTGCTGTTTTGCAATGAGGAATATGGGATAATAATAAAAATTAAACTGCTTAATTGAAAAGACTGTTTAAGAATTCTTCTGTCTTTAATCCAATTAACCAGACAATCATATCAATGGTACTATCAAGACTATTACAATTCCATTAGCAGTAGATAAATTATCCCATAGTTTATAATCTTGCTAAGATTTTAAATAGTCACATAAAGTCCCATTTTGTATCCTTTGGTTCTGCAATACATTTTATGTTTACTTGGAGGACAGTCCTGTAGCTGGAAATGGTGCTTATTCCTTAATAAGTATATTTGGAATTCCAGCCTGTATGCATTGTGTCTTTTTAGTCATAAATATCCAATCACTGAGTCTGTATATAATTTGTAAAGTATCATTATAGACGGGAATTTTTCAGTACCATGAGACAGAATCATGCTTTTGCAGCTCAAGATGGAACATGAAGTTGTCAAATATGTATACTCATACTAGCAGTAAAGGTCTATAAAACGGAAAAGTAAGCATGCAGTATCTTTTTAAGTATTTCCATAATAAAGCTACATAATAAGAATATGTTAAAATACGTTGAAATAATTGTCTAAGAAAGATTTCTGCTCAAAATTAACTACAATTAATCCACTATCAGAGACTTTTGTACCTCCTCCCACAAAGTAGATGTATGAGTCTATGCTGGGAAAATACTCTACAGGGCACAAATCTAAACAATTATCTCTTGTTTGTATGCTACAAATGTTATTAAACATTTTCATGTTTTTTAAAAAGAAGTGAGACAAAGAAATAAACTTTTAACCAAAAATAAGAATTGTAGAATAAGGCTTAACATCTACCTTAATTAAGAAAGTGCACATTTATTGGGATAATTCATGAAATTGAGCAGAGGAATATTCTTTTATAATCTAATTATTTCAAGAATTATAAAATCAATTACAGCTTCATTAGTCCCTTAAAAAAGCCATAATGGAATACCTTTACTGGAACTAACAAAATTATATAAAATGATGAAAATATTCCAGTTCTCAGTATTCTTTACCACAAAATGTTACAAAATCAAGTAAGAGCAACATTTTATATGGTATTTTAACCAGGTCTACAGTTCAAACTTGGTGTCAAAATTGTTAGTGGTATGTGTAGTGCCAAATTAGTCTCATCCATCAGATAACAAAATTGTTTCTGCAGCTTTGATATTATAACAGCTATTTTGGCTATTCTATCAAAGACATTACTCAAGTTTGATTTATTTCAAAAATAACAATAAAGCAACATACAGTTCTCTGAAAACAGCTTGAACTAGCTGTTACTTCAAAGAAAAATCAGTAAGCGCGATGGTGGTGTTATAATTCTATATCAATTTTTTAAAAATTATTGCTATCTAGAATAAATTAGCAATATATGGTCAACTCTGAGTGAAGTTAGTGGTCTCCAAATTAGATAGATAGATAGATAGATAGATAGATAGATAGATAGATAGATAGATAGATAGATAGATAGATAGATAGATGATGGATGGATAAACCTAATATATCCTAGAGCAGGGGTAGGCAACCCAAAACACTCAAAGAGCCACTTGGACCCATTTCCCACCAAAAACAAAACACCGGGAGCCGCAAAATCCTTTTGATATCTAAAATGAAGATAACACTGCATATATCCTTTTTTACCTTTATTATAGGTGTGTGTGTGTTTGTGTGTGTGTATATATGTGTGTGTGTGTGTATATATATATGTATGTATACACACACACATATATATATATATACACATACATACAAATACACATACAGGTAAAAAAAAGGATATATGCACTGTTATCTTCATTTTAGATGTCAAAAGGGTCTCTCTCTGTCTGTCTCTCTCTCTCCCTCCCTCTCTATCTGCCCTTGGTCTGCCTGCCACTCCACTTCCCCCACTCTTTCTCTCTCTCTCTTTCCTCTCTCTCTCTCTCCCTCCCTCTCTCTCTCTCTTTCTCTCTCTCTCTCCTATCTGCTGCTCACCTGGCAAGCTTCAAGCTGTTGTCCAACAACCTCCGGGGTAGGCAACCTCGTCTCTTTTATGACTCATGGACTTCAACTCCCAGAATTCCTGAGTAAGCCTAGCTGGGCTAGCTAGCTCTCTCCTACCCTTCCTGCTTCCTGCTTCCTGCAGAGACGCAGCAAAGGGAGGAGCTCCGTCCAGAAAGCTTTTCAGCTCCTCGGAGAACACTGTGAGTGCAATCTTTTACACACACACAGAGAGAGAGAGAGAGAGAGAGAGAGAGAAGGAAGCAGGGAAGCGCAATTGCCTCTCTCTGTCTCTGTCTCTCTCTGCAAAGGCAGAGGAGGCTGGGAGCCACCGGGGAAGGCTCAAAGAGCCACATGCGGCTCCGGAGCCACAGGTTGCCGACCTGTGTCCTAGAGTAACTTCTGCATAGGAAAAAGAAAATAGGTTTATACAGTATGTGTATTTTTATACTGACATGTTCTCAAAAGGTACCTAGGGATTTACCAGATAAACTCTAACAAAACCACTATAAAATCATATATCTTTTTATTATTATAGTTTCTCAAGTGATAAGATCTTAACCATTATACAGGATCGCCTAAATCACCTTTCTAAATATAAGGAGGGAGAGTGCCATGTAGATTTCCATGGGTAGACTATCAACAGGTTAGGAGCTGTCACTGGGAAGCACTAACTTTTGGACTTTTCCCCCAAATCTCTCATAGGGTACGCAGCATTCCCACATCAGCTATGCTAACGAGATAGGTAGGTTTGGTTTGAAACAGATTGTGCTGCAAATCTCTGGGCACCAAAGCTTATAGAGCTTTATCAGTGAAAAGCAGTACGTTGAATTGTACCTCGAAGCCTATTGGTAACTATCATGGAGCCTGCAAAATTGGCATTATATGTGAGAAGTACCTTTTCCAAATGATGAGCCCTGTGGTATTCTGCATAAATTTTACCTTTCAGGTATTCTTCAAAGCCAATCCCATGTAGCCTGCACTGTAATATACATGTGTAAGTGAGAGTCCTTGTTGTCAGCATTTCTTTCTTCAGGAAAGAATACTATTGGTTGGATTCAGTTGTGGGAGAACATCAAGCCATTACAGAAAAATAATTGATTCATGGGAAATAGAAAGTATGAGAAGAAACTCAAAACAACTCTGTCTTCATTATGTTATATATAAGTTGAAGTACTTAGTTTCACTATGATTCAACTTTTTCCCAGGAGAGATCCTGACAACCCTGACACACACTGGGCCAAGACTTTCTGATGGAGATGTATAATTGCATATAATTTGCATATTAAGACATTTCCTAGTGATATCATGCAAATATTAACAATTTGATAAGAGAAAAGCTGAACTATGTCTGATCTGATCTCTTCCCGTTTCTCCACCAATTCCACATTTTGGAAGAAGCAGAAGTGAACTTAAACATTTTGCAAGTGGTCCAGAAGGATCTTATGATCAATGGTATTCATGCTTCTGAGATCCAAAAGGATCGGGAAAGGAGCTTTCTTTCCATCTAGAACCCATATAAGTCACCATCTAGCACAGGGGTCCTCAACCTTGGCAACTTTAAGACTTGTGAACTTCAACTCCCAGAATTCCTCAGCCAGCAAGTCTTAAAGTTGCCAAGGTTGAGGACCCCTGATCTAGCACAAACTAATGTCCTGGTTTGAAATCTAACTAAAAAAGATTCAGATAATCTACCTTCTTTAGGGGAATTGGAGCCCTAAATAGGAACGATTGTAGAAAAACTAATAAAACTATTAAGGGACAATTCCAGTGACTTGTATGTATCAGTTATGAGTCCTATTTATAATGAAATAAAAGTTTAATTTTGGTCTCTTCCCCCCCCTCCCCCAACATAGTGCAGTAGGCTTGATTTCAGGATTTTTGCTTATGATCTTGTTTACATTTTTATAATCCTCCAGCACCAAAAGCCTGAGGATCTATAAAAGTAGCTTTCATTTGTCCATATTACACTTATACTTTGTGAGGCGCACTTATTACTAGTTGGCTTCCAGATGAAATTCAAGATTTATTTATTTACTACTTTATTAAATTTATTGGCCGCTCATTGCAGAGTAACTCTGGGCAGATACTTGTGGTCATAAAACAATGTATATCTGCAGTACAGTCTTCTCCAATTATTTCTGCTGATCCTATAAAATCAGCAATAAAGCAATATAAATTTAATAATAATAACACCCAGTTAGCTGCTGCAAGAAGATCACACAGATTGATTACAAAACAATGACATGACACATAATGCATTGGAACATCTGCAAGAAATACTATTTATATTATTTGCCTGCAAGCAAGAACTTAGTGGGACTATAAAATAAGAGAAAGTAATAGAAAATGAAGCTAAAGTACACCTGCCACATAACACCCCAGACTTAACCAACTGTCAATAAGAAAGATAAAAAAAAGTGTAGATAGTGGACATAGCAGTACTTGGAGACAGCAGAAGAGAAAAGAAAGAATTGAAGAAGATAGCAGAATACAAACACCTGCAAAATAGAAATAAAATGATTTTGGCAAAAGAGAGCAAAGATAATACCAATACTGTAGTAGTAGGACCCTTGGGTGCAATTCCAAAACAACTAGAGCACCACTTGAACACCCTTGGCATTGAAAAAATCACCATCAGTCAGTTGCAAAACACACCTTTACTTGTAAGATGTTTATCTTACATCCTACAATGATACCTTTAATACCATCAAACATCAACACCTGCCTATTCCAGGTCCCTGCGAAGGATTCAATA